TAACTGGGAAGAATCTGAATAGATCTTAAACATTTGGATTATGGCATTGCTTTGAAGAAATGCCTACCCATTGCTTTCACATTCATCACTGACTGAGTTTAGGAGGAAGACAGTCCAGTAGATGCCTTGTGGCATTTGTCTTAATGAAGGAACCCCACCAGCAGCTCTCTAGCAGCCTTATTACCCTCTGTGACACCTCTTCTCCTTTGCTAGCATTAGTGTTGTTTTGCCCTTGGACCAACACTATTCTGATTGTCAAATACTTTGAAGCAGATGAGAGGCGGTGTTTCTTCACAGGAGAGTTAGACAGTTTTTTAATGGAGAGATAATTATTTATGTTTAGCACATCATAGATTGTATTTAAATAGCTATTTCTGACTTTAATCATAGGAAGTAATTTTAAGTGTGGTCTGTAAGTATTCTGGATTGTTGGCTCTCAAACAGTCCCATTTCACCCTGGGTCAGATCAAGGAATCTCCGCACACAAAGTTGGAAGACTGGTTCCCAAGTCTTTCCCCTGAAATACTGCCTTTTTGTGATTTACTTATTTAGTACCATGTTTTTTTCATAGATATAAACATATTTAATTTATTGTGTTCACTTTTTCTCTTAAAACTGAATTCTAGCCTCTAATTTGTGATGTCTGAATTAGTGGTTACGGAGTCCTTACATGTATTTCTTAGCAATTTATTTTAGTAACTACTCAGAAGTGAAAAGGTTGACAATTTTTTAAAAATCTCCCCCTGCCCCTACTAATTAAATATAACTTTTCTTTTCCCAGGTAGTTATTTTTATTTATTTACATGTTTTTAAATTAAAATTGTACATATTTAAAGTGTATAGTATGTTTTGATATATATGCGCACCGTATATGTAGCCTGTGTGTATAGCTTGTACGCCTCATCACATAAGCAGAAGATTCTCTAGAGCAGGTTGTACATCTGGTCAGCCCCTTGTAATTTTATAGCTTGTGAGTCAGTGGTATATATATATATATTTTTTTATTATTATTATTATTTTATCACTACAATTAAAATGCTCTGTTTTCATTCAGAAAGTTTCAATTTATTCTGGTTTTTATATTTTTAAATGGTTATCTAAGAACCTATACATATAATATCCTTAATTTTGCCTTGGTGTAGGATACCTTTAAAGGGTATCCTATAATTCAGCTCATTGTAGACAAATAAAAAGTGGACTTGATGTTGGTAAGACTCCTCCCACTCCCAACACACACATTTTTAAAAAAGATAAGCTGGAAATCTGCATTTTTATGTGAAATATCTTGAATTTAATATACTGACCATAAGTTCACAAATTTAAATGGTACTTTCTGGCTTCTCCATTGTGGATCAAATATATGTGTATAGGATGCTCTGAAAAAGGGTGCCAGGCTCTAATTTATACGGTATTTATGGTCACTCTAGCCTCTTGTTTTCTACACGGTTTTTCTTTCTGGCCTATAGGTCAGGCTGGATTAAAGGAAAAGAATGTAAATGTGCTAATTTCAGTTTTACTGATCGTTAATAAGAATTAGACCATTTCTGAATGGAATCCTTGGCCAGTTTTGCTTCAGGAGAGTGTAAATTAATTGTTCCCTTCCCTTTTGTTCTTGGAGAATCAGATCTTTTTTTCCCCAAACAATTTTTGAATAGCATTATCAAGTCAGTATATACAAATTAGAAGTTAACAGGATTATAATCTGATGACTACATTAAACAAACTATAGTATAAATACTTTAAATTATCTGTCTAAGTAGGCTAAAATAAAACTTAAAGGTCCTTTTAATCAGAGAATAATAAATATCTTTGACGAAAAAACAGTTTCAAAGATTTGTCAAGATATATATTCTAAGAAATACTTCTCATGTGTGCTAATTTTAAGAAATCATCAAGGAGTTTAGATTTCAAGAAAAAACACTCTATATAATGTCAAGAGCAAAGCATTTTCGGATGTTCCAGACATAAATAAGGCAGAAGCATTTATCACTGAAATATGGGAAAGATATTTAAGACTTTGTTTACTAGTTGATAATTTGAAATCCTTTAAGAAAAATGTTAGTGTTTGAACTTTCAGCATTCAAATTGGAATGTAAAGTTTGCCATCATGTATTCTTTTTGCACATTAATACTGATATGAAATACTACAAGCCTGTTAGCTAACTGTATTTATAACTATCAAGGAGAAAAATACCCTTTTCTTGATCAGGAAATCACCTATTTAATTAAGAGCTCAATGGCATAATGTTTACTTGAAATTTTTTGAGAATAGTAGGCTATAGTCATTATTAATGAAGAAGTCCTGAAAGCCTTACTAGGGGAAAATAAAAGCTTTGCTTAGTTTTTTTTTTAAGCTACCTTTTTATTAGCCACTTACTTTTTTTTTTTTAGAAATTAGATGACTTATTTTTATTATTTTTCACTATTGCACTTTAATTTGCTTGTTTTCCAGAATTGTGATTATATAGTACATATAGCCTTTGCTTTCTGATTTTTCACTCACTATAATCATTTTTTATATTAGTGCATGCTCATTTTTTCCATGTTGTTTATATACAGTTTAGAAAATCAAATATAGTCACCATGTTTTACACTGGATCTTCCACCCTCATTCATCTTACAGCTGAAGGTTTGTACCCTTTTATTACCGTTGCCTATTTTATACTTTCATATATTAAACACAATTAAATTTTATTCCACTTAAAAAGCCTTTTCAGGATCTGGCAGACTCTTTGGGCAACGTAGCTGTGTAGACCTCTTGGCTATTAGAGCACCGGGGCTTTTAGCTAGCATTTTGTTGAGAATGCACAAAGGCTGAGAAGTGGGAACTGAAGAGTCTCTGGCCAAGTCACTGCAGCCAAAATAACTGGACTGCGGCATGGCTGCTCTAGGCATTTTTTGCTGGCTTTACAATCCCTGAGGTTTGGCGCATCACCAGTTTATGTTGCGACATTTGGGATCTGTCAGAAGAGAGTGAAAGCAGTAGAATCAGCATTGCAATGGACTAGTGCAGTGATGCAACCTCTCAAATGTAAGTTTAAAAAATGGATGGGTTTGGGGGTCATTTTTGTGAGGGGGGTATATGAGACAGGATTTCAAATTGACCTACAAGAATGTTTCTGAATGCTATTTGTTTTTCTCCTTAATTCATTAGTAGAAGAGAGTTGGGAGTACATTGAGGAAATGAAGGCATTTTATTCAGATGTCGTGTTTCTTTCATTGTAAAGAGCAACACATTGAATAATAGCAATGTATTTTACTAGTATAGATGCAATGAAAGATTATTCTTTTTTATGGCAAAAATTGCCAATATATGAACTGTCATTGCCTGATTGTTATAAAACATCTTGTATGTAGTTTTAAAAAATAAGAGTGAACCGAAATAAATTCCTTTTTAGAGAATTACAGCAAGATGTAACAAAAAGAGTTCAAAGTTTAAGATAGTATTTATATTGTTGATACAGTGCTCATAATGAAAGGTATTTACTGAGAAAATGGATATGATAAATGTGGGTCATGGAAAAGACAAAAAATTTCAAATACGAGGAAGTTAGAGTGAAGTGATCTGAATAGAGCCAGAAATAATGACGTTTTGTGTTTTGATAATTAACCGATAATGAAGGTTTTCAAATCTCTTCTCTGGATTGGGCTGGGAGGGTTGATCTAATAATTGGAGTCTGGGTATACTTTTACGTAATTAATTTTTATGGGACTTTCCCCCCCTCCAGTGGTAGTCAGGACAGTATATGGAGGTAAATAAGACGAATACTGGGCTAAAATTCACAAAACTGAGACCTGGATCCAGTTCTGACATTTAGTAGTAGTTCAACCTTCAGCAAAATCTTTCACCTCTGAATTTCTCTTTCCTCAGCTGTAAAGTCAGGGTTTTGGACTAACCTTAAGGTACCCACTTCTTGAAACACTGTCTAACTGAAACAATCTGAAGTCCTGTCAGCAGCAGATAGGGTAACTCAGTGATGGTATGTCCAGATAACAGGATATGTGCAGCTGTTAAGATAGAGGTCGGTGTACAAGTCCAGGTGGGGTATGATTCATTTTTTCATTCATCCAACAAACTGTGAGTCCCTCTGTGTGCCAGGGGCTATTCTTGGTGTTAGGGATACGGAAAAGAACACAGACATAGAGCTTACATTGAAGAGAGAGGTCAGACATAAATTAATAAACATCATGGGGTCGGGAAGCAATAAATGCTATGAAAAAAAAGAAGTACTTCCTCTAATCTTTGAAACTTGATAAGGGGGAAAAGAAGATACAGAATGTATTTGGGATACTATTGTTGGCATTTTTTAAAGGCTTGGGGGATGGTTACCCTTGGCGTGAGAATTGGAGGTCAGGATATGATGTGGGAGGGAGAGACGCTTATTTCACATACTCTTCTGTTGTGCTGTTTGATTTTTTTTTTCCACGTGTGTGCATGTATGATCAAAAAGAAAACCCAAAAACAAAACAAAACAAAAAGACAAACAACTGAATCTTTAATGGTGTGGGGAAAATTTTTTGATGATATATTTAACATGCTTTAGTCCACTCTGAACTTTTTTTGGCTAAGTGTACTAGTCTTATTTATGTGTCCTAATAATGTTTAGATAACAAAGTTTTTGGCTTTTGGTTGTATCAGACTTTTCCTGTTGGTGTGTACAAGTTTTTTTTGTATTAACATTTGCAATACTAAAACTTAAATTTATGTTTAGTTTTCCTTAATGTGTTCAAATTCAGTGAAAAGAAAATCTATCTAAACATTGAAAACTTTTGCTAAAGGATAGCTTGCTTGCTTAACTTCATGTCTTCCTTGGGGTAAGAATTTAAGTTCTTGACATTTGTCTTATGTATTTCAACTTTTATTTCAGTTTTAGTGTGTTTACTTTTAGGTTCCAAACATCAGTTGAACTTGAGAACTCAAATGAGGTCAATTTTTCCCCCCCTAAAAAAATCAACATGCCTAAGCATCTTTCCTGATTTTTATCTCTGTTCTTTTCTAGTTGGATGAAAAATCTGACAAACAGTATGCTGAAAATTACACAAGAGTGAGTATAGGAAGTCCTAAGGGAATGAAATTCTCAAGGTCTATTGAACTTACTTTCTGTTACTGTTTCATTCTTTATTTTACTACAATTGAACCAATGGAGTTGCTCTTCTTCTCTTCATCTATTTCCTGTCATTGACCTCCAAATTCCTCTGAGGTTGAATCATGTGAAGCACTGGGAAGAAAAGACACTGCATTTTATTTCCCTGAATGTCACCTCCTAAGCTTTTGGCTGTTATTTTGATTTTCATTTCTCTAGAATTTGATCCTGAGAAGAAACCATAAAATGCTGCAGATGAAGTGTCTTCAGATGAAGTGTCTTTAGGAATGGTGGTGACACACACTGAGATTTTTTTTCCCCCTCTAAGATAAATTATTTCTTTGAAGTAAAATAAATTTTTTTCTGGGAGTCACTTTGTGTCAAAGTCTAACTTTCTTCTAGAAGTATTTTTTGATAGTCATTTAGGGAAATTATTAGGATTACAATAGAAATATCATACAAGCCACCAATGTAAGCCACGTATGTGAGTTTAACTTTTCTAGTAGCTACATTAAAATAGTAAAAGAAACAGGTAAAATGAATTTAAATAATATATTTTATTTAACCAAAATATTTTCAACATAATGTGAAAATTTATTGAGATATTTTACATTGTTTTTTCTGTACTAAGCCTTTGAAATCTGGTATGTATTTTATACTTTAAAAAAAAATCTCAACTTGGACTAATCACATTTCAAGTGCTCAGTAGCTACACGTGGCTAGTGGCTACTATTTTGTACAGTTCAGATCTATGCCATTTATTAATCCAACAGCATAATCTCCCATTTAAACTATTTGTGGGAAGAATAGTCTAAGTCATAGTGATACATGGTGTTGTTGCTCTCAGGTGCAAATAGTATGTCCAACTTTTATTAACAAAATATCAGAAAAAGAGAAAATCCTAAAGAAGCAGCTTCAGGAACTAAACAGGACTGCTGATTAGCATACCAGTTACAAAATTCGAAAACTTTTCAAATTAATCTGATGTGCTCACCCCAGTATTATTTACAGTGTAGCAAAGATAAACTTAAGAAACAACTCTACACCAACTATTCCCTTCTTAGTTATGAATTCTAGATTCCAGTAAAATGTTTGAACAGGACCCCTCCCCAAAGCCAACCTGAATTGTCTGTAGGTTGCACTTGGTAACTTCTCACCCACAGTGTGTTAGATCTCCTTTACCACCCTGCCTCTTTTTTTAGTTTCCACGACAAACATTTTTAAAGAAACAAGACTTAGAAGTGTCGTATTTCTTTTCTCTAGCCTTCATCTCGAAATTCTGCCTCAGCAACAACCCCTCTAAGTGGAAACTCATCCAGACGAGGAAGCGGGGACACCAGCAGCTTAATAGATCCAGACACCTCATTAAGTGAATTGCGGGTAAACCAAAATTTTGTTTGGCTTTTTAAAAACAATTTTTTGGCTTCTTTGCAGTATACTAGTATCCTGGAACTATTTAACATTTAATGTGATTCAGTAGAAAGAAAAGGAGTATGAGTTCTTTAAAAGAAAATTGTTAATACGGTTTAAGAATGTGACTTTGGTATGAAAAGAAGGAGATTCGTTAATTCTTTCTGTTCTCTTTCCTGAACTTTTGATGATATTGGAATGAGTTCTGCTAATTTTTAAATGGATGTAAAAGTAATTCTGTCAGAAATAATTGGCCATACTTTAAATGGAAAATATGTGGGTGGACAAGGAACCAGACTCTGGGAATTACTAGTCTTTTGAGCCATTATGGTATTATTTGGCTGCTTGAATACAGTTATCTCTCGATTTTTCATGATAAGACAAATATAATAATATCTGAGATAACAGAAATACCTGAGTAATTTAAAGTTTATTTGAGTCTCCATTCTTTTCAACCATTTAATTTGAAAGATGGGGACCTTCAAAATGTATTTATTTGAATGTCTGTTTGTGGACCCTGCCATTTCCCAGCCTCAGACTTTGCTTTTGCTTCCTGTTTATTTCTATTTCTTCAAGAGAATGACTTCCTTGAAAGAAATGAGATTTTTGTATCTTAGCGCCTGGTTTGTAATAGACCCTCACTAAATCTCTGTTGAATGAATCAATGAATAAAAGACAGACAGACTCACCAAGAAGGGAATGTAGGGGGCAGAGGAAGTATAATACAGAGACTGTGTGTATCAGCCTTGGATAATTGATCCTGCCTGTAATTGCAGACTTGTGGTTAGGGCCCTGGGGCAGTTATTTCCCACCTAAATCAAGCATCCAGAATAGACCTTATGTAGCAGGGCCAGGTATAAGAGAAACAGTATTTTCCATTTAAAATTCAATCTGCTTCACTTTTCTTATAAGGATTATGGTAACATTTGGAACAAGTGCTTTTCTCAACATTTAAATGGTGTTCTTAAGATAGACTCTCTCATTTGACATTGTGTCAAAATGTTTGTGTTTAACTTTCCTCCCTTTACTTTCTTTCTCCCAAATTAATTGTGATCGGTTAACCAGGTTATTGAAAGAAAACTTTTTTCATATCCATTTATTACATTTTCAAAAGCTTCTGCATGAGTCAGTAAAGTTTGCTGCTCAGAATTAATTTACTACATATTTAAATGATTTATAAAATTTTTAAATTTTTATGTTAAAGTGTTATATAGTTTTCTTTTTTCTATATACAGCCCCACCCCCATTTGCTAATGCTCTTTCAACATGGGTTAATGCTAAGAAAATGTTTTAACTCGTTAGGTACATTACTCCATGCCTTCTTCAGCCCCACTGTCACCTGATCTGCTTGCCCCTTGTAGTGGTTGGGAGTGGCAGTTAAGTTCGTGCACTCTGATTTTTTTGCTTTTAGTCTGTACTATTCATACTCATTTCACATTTTCATCTGAATTCTTTGAGGTTTAAGATATATTTGTGGATGGTTTTATGCAATGGTTCATTCCTATGTTCTGCAGGATATCTATGACCTTAAGGACCAGATACAGGATGTAGAAGGGAGATACATGCAGGGGCTTAAAGAACTAAAGGTATCAGGGCCCATTCTGTAGCCCAAGCATGCTGTCTGTATGCAGAAGTGTTGGTAATGGTGGCTTCACGAGTTTTATTAACCCCACTGCACATAGCTTTACTAACAGCGTTCGTCTTTCAAGCATGTGCTTAGCCTGCAGTGCATAGGAAAGGTGAACTTTTAGTCTCCGCTTATGTTTAAATGTTTAGTATATGGTTTTTGTACTATTCAGTAATATACCTTACAGTTTTTAAACCTTGTAAAAGACTTGAATGTCCCTTATGTCTTAGCCATACAATATTGAATTGGGCAAACACCTAAAAAGTATTCTGAGAATATTTTTTTAACTGAGAACTGACCTTAAAATTCTTCCAAGCTAAATGAGAGAGGATTGCCTGTTTCTGTCACCAAATTCAGTCAATGTTAAAGGCAGGAGGAAGAAATATATAAGCATTATTATAAGTATTCCCTCTGGAGGAAGGAGCCTGAAGCATGAGGCCTGCGTTTTCTTTCTTTCTTGTTTTTAACCTATAGGTCAGAAAGGATTACACAGATTCAGTGCCTTAAAGAATTTGGAGATCAACTTAAATGGGCCTTATCTCTTCCAAACAAGGATGACTACCGGTTTTCAGTACAAGTGTCCATGCAAGGCAGGCACTTTGGTTGTAAATGGCACTTGGTTATTATGGTCTTCCCATGTTTTATTACGAAGTTCAAGCCTAATATGAGAGGAAATTAAGTTCCTCTGAACACATACATGCCCCTATTTGAGATAGGAAAACACAATAGACCTCTAAAACGTGTAAGCAAGGCATTCAGAAAGGTGACTCAGGTTATCCAAAGGACAAAGTGGCGCTAATGGGCAAAGCTTTCATCTGCTTCCCTTGTGTGGTGTGAGGTAGCCCAGCTGCCAGCCAGAATCTTCATGCAGGCAATGTTGTTCATAAGGAACTTGGAGTTGAGACTCATGACCAGACAGGGTGGGAAGTCCTGTGGAGACTGCCCTTGAAGGAAGCCTGGAAGCTCTGGTGTGACAGTGCCAGGTGTTCAGTGACATCAGGAGAATTACAGTTAGTACACTGATATGCTCATTTAGTCTTATTGCTCCAATTCTCAGGATTTATTCCCCACGCCCCCTTTTAAGGCTTTCAAGATGAGACTTTTAGAAATATCTTAGATCAAGGAAAAGAATTAAATACATATGCTCATATTAAGTCTCTGGTGTAATATAATGTATCAGGACAGCAGGCAAGCCACTCAGGCATTTTTATTGCTTTTATTTTATTTAAAACGTTTTTCTCACCTTTAGATCTACCATTTATTGCATTTTTTTGAAGGCTACAAAAGAACAGATTAAATTTATTTGAGACTGTGAACAGATAAGATACCTTTTCTTAATTTATGGTCAGCGTATAATTGAACATGACTTCAGGTTTTATTTATCCTTGAAATGACTGAAGTGGAAGAAAAGTCATTAAAAAAAAAATCTGATTGATGATGAAGCATGGTGGTGTGATATATCCAGATCCTATTAAAAAGGATACTGGGTCATTGTTTATGACTTTGTTGTTGTTTTTTGTTTTTTATTAAGTATGTCTGCCTTTGGGTGCTTTCCCCCATCCAGAATTACCTCAGTCTTGTTAAAACACAGACTGCTGGACCCTACTCCCAGATTTTCTTACTCAGTGCATCTGGGATGGGGTTGAAAATTTGCTTGCCTTTTTTTTTTTTTTTTTTTAAATTTCAGAAAGAGGGAGAGAGAGATAGAAACATCAATGAGAGTCATCAATCTGCTGCCTCCCGCACGCCTCTTACTGGGGATCGATCCTGAAACCAGAGCATGTGCCCTGACCGGGAATCAAACTGTGACTTCCTGGTTCATGGGTCGACGCTCATCCACTGACCCACGCCAACCAGGCAGAAAATTTGGATTTTTATTCAATTCCCAGATAATGCTGTTGCTGCTAGTTCAGAACCCACACTTTCAAAATCACTGCCTTAGACACATTTAAGTAAAACTAATTCCTAATGGGTATCACTGTGTAAGCTAGATAGAAATCACTAAAACTACCTTGATACTTAAATGTAAAACAGTTGTCTGTGGTCTTGTTTAAAGGAAGAGTACATTACATAAGTTTTATGTCAAATTTCTTGTGTTATATATTGTGTCTTGCATCTACTGCTTGAACTGTCTCAGTTTCTAGTGTTCATGCAGTTATTCCCCATTTTATATGGACTGAGTTGTGAGGAGGACTTTGAATGCTATTAGCCTTTAAGATGAATCAGAATCATTCTAAATTCTGTATTATATTAAGATATTACTATATTTAAATTATTATACAATTGACTTTGCTTATATTTGTTATTTGGGTTATATTTGTTCCCAATTCTAGTATAAATGTTGCCTGTTAATACAGTCCTAGTTTGTGAAATGTCATTAAGAGTGTGTGTGTGTCTTTATTGAGATATAATTCATATACTGTAAAATTTATCCATTTAAAGTATACACAACTCAGTGGTCTTGGCATAGCTACAGAGTAGTACAACCAACACCACAACCCAACTTTGGAACACTTTTATTACCCCAAAAAGAAACCCCATACTAATTATCAGTCATTCCCCACTTCTCTCCCACTCACACTCAGCCCTGAGTAGCCACTAATCTACTTTCTTTCTCTGTGGACTTTGCCTGTGCTGACATGTTATATAAATGGAATCATGCTATTTGTTGTCTTTTGTGATTGACTTTTCACTTAGCTTAATGTTTTCAAAATTCATCAATGTTGTAACATGTATCTGTGGGGTGTATGTGTGTGTATTTTTTATATTTTTGTGTTTTTTATGTGTATTAGTAATATTCCATTGTATGGATTTATCACATTTGTCAGTTGATGGGCATTTGGGTTGTTTCCTATTTTTGGCTATTTTGAATTATGCTGCTATGAATATTTGTGTACAAATTTTTGTATACACATATCTTCTCATTTCTCTTGAGTAGAATCCTAGGAATAGAATTGCTAGTTCATACGATGTTTTTACGTTTACCATTTTAAGGAATGCCAAACTGTTTTCCAAAGCAGCTACACGTTCTCACCAGCAATGTATGAGGGTTCTAGCTTTCCCACATCCTCACCAATACTTGTGAATCCCCCTTCTCCCCCCATATTATATATTATAGCTATTATCTCAGTAGGTCTGAAATGGTATCTCATTGTGGTTTTGATGTGCATTTCTCTAATTACTATTGATGCTGAGCATGTTTTCATGTGCTTATTGTCCATTTGGAAAAATATATATTCAAATCCTTGCCCATTTTAAAATTGAATTATGTGTCTTTTATTATTGATTTGTAAGAATTCTTTATATAGTCTGGATATAAGTCCCTTATCAGACATAAGATTTATAAATATTTTCTTCCATTCTATGGGTTATCTTTTCACTTTCTTGATGGTACTGTTTATAGCACAAACATTTAAAATTTTTATTTTTTCTTTTGTTACCAGTCTTTTGGTATCATATCTAAGAAACCATTGCCTACTCCAGGTTCATGAAGATTTATTGCTATGTTTTCTTTGAAGAGCTTTATAGTTTTAGCTCTTATATTTAGGTCTTTCATCCATTTGGGTTCATTTTTGTCAGTATGATATGACATAGGAGTCCAACTTCATTCTTTCACATGTGGATACTCATTTGTCCCACCACTATTTATTGAAAAAACTATTCTTTTCCCATTGAGTTGCCTGGGTGCCCTTGTCAAAAAGGAATTGATCATAAATATAAGTGTTCTGGGCTCTCATTTCTGTAGTATTGATTTGGTTTGATAAACACTTGCATTAGTATTTTTTGAATTTATTTCCAGCAGTGATGACTTTTTCTATGTGAAATATTTTTTCTTTTAAAAAGTTACCAGGCAGTAATAATGAATCAAATTAGACATAGTTATTCAAAAACAGACTTATAAGCTACTTTACACAGAAAATTTAGAAGAATATAAAATTTCAGGTATTTTGTTTTAGCTCTTGTATTTTTTTAAAAGATTTTTTTAATTGATTTTGGAGAAAGAGAGAGAAAGAAACATCGATGTGAGAGAAAAACATTGATCAGTTGCCTCCCGCACACGCCTTGACCAGGGATTGAACCCACAACCTGGGTATGTGCCCTGACTGGGAATCAAACCTGCCACCTTTCGGTGTATAGGACACTGCTCCAAACAACTGAGCCACACCGGCCAGGATGTAGTAGCTCTCTTATTAGTAATCATTTTTATATTGTTTACTTATTTTGAAATGACTAAAATTTGAATAATTGCTAGAAAAAATGTTTATACATTTATTTACATTAGCATCATTATGCAGTCCAGGGAAGTACTGAAAACAGATGTCCAGGAAGTAGTAAAATTCAAATGAGTATGAAGTTTACTTGTGTAAAGTGAGGCTGCATTCTATTTTATCATCGCATTCTGAATACCAAACAGCTTGTTGTTAAAAACTACAAGAGTGACATTTCTGAAAACAGTGATGATTCTTCATTTTGTGACTCTTACAAATATGTGTTGTCTATACACCTTCTCAGTGTTCAGGGGCTGTGTTGCTGCTTGTTTTCTTTTCGTGGACAGCAGGGAGCGTTTAAAGTTCTTAGAATGGCATTATTGGCTCATCGTCCTCCTGTTTCATGTGCATGTTGCTAAACACGGAGTGCCCCAGACTGCTTGTGTTTTGCAAAGGTCGCATCTTCATGTATTTGTGCCAGTGCTATTGTTTCCTGTTATGTATTGTATATAGGCAACAAACATATTCTAGGTATCAGGCTGATGACTTTGACTTTCTTCTAGGAGTCTTTGTCTGAAGTGGAAGAAAAGTATAAGAAAGCCATGGTTTCTAATGCACAGTTAGACAATGAGAAGAACAATTTGATCTACCAGGTAGACACCCTCAAGGATGTTATTGAAGAACAAGAGGAACAGATGGCGGAATTTTATAGAGAAAATGAAGAAAAATCAAAGGTAACGGCTCATCTTGTGTTATGCCTTTCTCTCAGGTCAGAAAATTAAAACTTGCCATTTAAAAAGTGCTGGGCTTAACAGAAAAATGCAGCATACCTGGGAATGATGTTTCTGTCAAAACCTGTTGGTTTTAAGGAAATTAACAGAATAACAGGTTCTAAAGTTTTTTTCTTTTTAAATTTTTATAAGATTTATTTTATTAAGGAAAAGCTTATGACTTCCTTTAGTTTCTGAAAATAGAATGGAACTCAAGTTTTATCTTTATTTTCTATCTCTTAATTGGGACAGTTGCAGTTAATTACTTATTTCTTCCTGTTTTAACTGGCTGGAATTCTACAGAGCTTCAAAGACTTTCAGTGCAATGGTTCATTTTTTATTCCCTCCTTCCCCATTTTTCAAGAGAACCTGCTTTCTAAATGATTGGAAAGAAATTTTTAATAAATAATTTAGAAATGGCATTGTGGAGATGTGGGTCAGAAATCAACATATGGTTTCTTTAGAGGTCTGTAAGCTATATTCTAAAAATGTGCAGATGGAAAATTAAAGCGTAACTCCATCTTTAAAGAGAAACGTCGCTTTATCTCAATGACTCACATGAGACAGTTTTAAAAAAATGTTTTTATTGATTTTAGAGAGAGAGGAAACGAGGGAGAGAGAGGGATAGAAGCATCTATCAGCTGCCTCCTGCATGCCCCCTACTGGGGAGTGATCCTGCAACCCCCGGCAACCTCTTAGTGCATGGATCTACGCTCAACCACTGAGCCTCACAGGTCTGGGTCTGATGAGACCATTTAGATAGGAAAGGTGAGATAAAGACTTAATTCTTTTACTTTATTTAGGAGTTTTCAAAATAAAGAATTAGTTGTTTAGCATTCTTTCAGAGTCATCCATTATTTGTTGTTTTTAATATTACAAAGTCAAGTACTCAACATTTGACGATTTCAGTCAATTATAGGTTTTATTCTTACTGATTTTCATATTGTCTGACCTTTAACTAATGTGAACTCTGTTAGGTTGATTCCCAAGTAATTTTGACATGAGTCTGCATTTGACGGCTTCTTCACTCTCTAGCACCAGCAGGTACGCCAGGCTCGTCTGGTGTGTTTCCTGCTCCAGACCTGGAATCAGCTCTTTGTCTGAGGAACCCCACCTCTCTTTTAGTGAAACAGCGTGGGTGCTAGGGCTGCGCTTGCCACTAAGCTCCTTACTGTTTATAGGCCTTTTTAGTATCAAGTGAACATGTATGTGGGATATTTTTAAAAAATAATTAAACAGACGTTTTAAAAAGTCAAAATATGAGTTTATGCTGGTGGTTCTCATTCATGTTCAGGACTCCAGGGTTTTTACTTAACCTCTCCTTTCTTACATATGTATATCTCTTTTTTCCCACACTACCATTCTCAGTTCTCAAAAGTCACTGGGGATGATAGTAATTATGTTATATTCTATTCTCATTGCTTTATCCCACAGTACCCAGAATAGCAATCCCAACGTTACCACCAACGATATAATTACTTAAAATAGTTATATGTCTTTTTGTTTTGTTCTGTTTGGTGGTTATTTTACTGCTAGGCTATGTATAGTGCAACCATTGTTTTTAAAAGTTACTTGAAATAGTTTATTTCCTTGTGCTTATGCTGTTAACTGGATATATAGTTAGGTTCACTGCAATTTATTTCAGTGTTTAGAAATTGCTTTTTTACTTTTTATTTTTAAATTATTTTTACTTTTAATTGTAAAAAAACATATAACAAAATTTACCATCTTAACCATTTAGAGTATGTAGTTCAGGAATGTTAAGTATATTCACATTGTTGTGCAACAGATGTCCAAAACTTTTTCATCTTGTAACACTGAAACCCTGTACTTACTAAACAAACTCCCCATTTTCTCCTACCCTTAGTTCCTGGCAACCACCATTGTCCTTTTTGTCTCTGTGAGTTTGATTACTCTAGATACCTCATATAAGTGGACTAATATATTTGTCTTTTCATGACTGACTTATTTCTCTAGCATACTGCTCTCGAGGTTCATTCATGTTGTAGCATGTGATGGGATTTCCTTCCTGGATAGTATTCCACTGTACGTATATAAGTGCCACATTTTGTTTATCCATTCACATGTCAGTAGATACTTGGGTTGCTTCCACAAGGAATTACTTTTCAATTTACTTTTTTTTATAGTTACAGAAAGCGTTTACATATACCTGAAGTCATATCAACAAAAAAATATATATTCAAAGAAGTCAACGTTCTATCTGTCTTTTCATTCCCTATTTCCCTTCCTTAAAAATTTTAATTACTGGTATATTCTTCCATTTTTTAATCTAAGAAGGTATATATATATATATCTTACCATTCAAAAAATATGTGCAAATATATATGTGCATGTATTTCTTAGAAAATAGTAGCTTTCTGTAAATACTGTTCTGCACCTTGATTTAATCACCATGTGATTGTAGTATATAGAGATGTTCTTTTTTCTTCTTCTATCCTCTCTTCACTCCCTCAAGTTCAAGTACCTTCAGTGATTAATTTTCAACCAGGTAATATTTTTTTTAGTGTACCAAAAGATAGGAATTTTGAGTATTGGCCTTATCTCTGGTCTTATGCTCTAGTATCAAAACACTGAATACCCCTCTATGCCTTGTCAGTACATTTATTCTCTGGAATGCCTGTTCTCAGACTATTGGCTATAAAACTCTTATCAATCAAAAATGTGTTTAAGTGTTTCTCTGAAGATTTCAGAGATCTTCATTTTTAAAAATCACTATATAGTTATTTCATTGTGTGGATATACTATAGTTTATCCCACCAGTTCCTTATTAATAGACATTTGAGTTGTTAAAAATAGTGCTGCAAAAATGATGTATGTATAGGCCTTTTTTATTTTGGGGAGTCATGAAAGTGGGTTTGCGGGGTCAAAAGGTATGGTAATGCTGCTAGATTCTGCCAAATTCCCTTTGTAGGGGTCATAGCATTTTGTATTCCCACCAAAACGTAGGAAAGGGCCTGTTTCCTACCTCATAGTGCTTTCCTGAATATGTTGTCAAGGTTTTGGACTCTTACGGTGTTTTAGTGAGAAATATGATTTTAATTTATATTTCTCTTAATCTGATTATCTTTTCATGTTCAAAGCAATTTCTTCTTTTTTCTGTGAGTTCTCCTCCTTCTTAGTCTGTTTTTCTGTATAATTGTGTGTGTGTGTTTCTTTCTAGTTTTAGAGACTTGGTATAATGGAGAGGTAGTAACTTTTTGTCTCTTATGTAAGTTGTAAATATTTTTTTGGCAGTTTGTCTTTTTACTTTGTAGTGTCTTTTGCCATTCAAAATTTTTTATTTTTATTTAGTCTAATTTATTATCTCTTTCCTCTTCTTGCTTGTAGATTTTTGAGTCACTTTTTCCCCATTCCTTGGTTTCACTCATCTTTTCTAGAGTGCTGTAACTGTTCCCTCTCTCCCTCCCTCTCATGTTGCGCGCCCCC